TAGGCCTTGAATCACTCGACCTCTCGTTCAACCGCCTCGCAACCGTGCCAGACGACCTCGTGCGACTCTTTGAATTGCGCATGCTCAAGCTAGACAACAACAAACTCCGCCACCTCCCCGGACGTCTGGGCTTCCTTCAGAAGCTGGAGCACTTGGACATGTCCCACAACGTGTTGCAATGGCTCCCCACGACATGCCATCACCTCGTCAACGTCAAGTTCGTCTCGGCCGCGTTCAACCAGCTCGAGCGGCGTCCTCCCTACTTCTACGACAAGGCAGTGTTCGTCGACTGGAGCGGCAATCCTTTCAATGCTACCGAAGTTATGGTACGGCCGCTGCTCGAGATGGCGGCGCAGGCTAAACACGACCTCGAACACCGAAACTACAAGACTGCCGCTGCCTTGTTCACTGCGCTGCTTAATCAAGCCAGCGCCGTGTCTGTGATGTCCAAGGAGTTGGAGCCCATACGAGCTCATGCGACGTTTTACCGCGGCATTTGTAGGTACCAGCAAGTACGTTCGAGTCGTCCCAGTATTAGCAATGTCTTGTATGACGGAGCAGTAGATTTGCCGAGCTCTGTCCGCCATCGAAGCACTCAGCATCGAGGCTTCCACCATCGAGCAAAAGCTCAACGAGCAGCGCCTTGTTGAGCCATGGGACGTGATGACTCTGTCGACAGACGACCGCCATGCATCGCAGACCCAGCTGGATTCGCTTATACAGGAGAAAATTGAGTTGCGAACAGCCGTTCAGGAGTGGAAACTTGAAGCACAGGCCGACTTCAAGCAAGCCATTCGGTACCAAGTCGAGCCCACCACGGCCGCGTTCACTCTAGGCAGCCTCTATGCCAAGACTTTCCAGGTAGGGCTACTGACGTCTTCCACCATTAAGTCCTGATGGAGTTGCCTACAGCTGCCGGAAGCCATTGAGATGCTCACACACGCTCTCAAATACTTCACCAACGGCATCACACAAGGCGCAGTGCCGATTCTCCTCCAAAGAGCAGAGGCGTGGGAGCAACTCGGTCAGCCGCCGATGGCGAACGACGACTACAAGCTCGTGCTGACCGTGGACCCGTCCCACGACATCGCAATCGCCCGATTGGCGGCTCTAGAGACCCATCAAGCAAAGTATCACGTCGGATTTGACACGGATGCCCACAAACGAGCGTTCGTGATGGAGCCGAACGGCATATGCCACCGGCGCAATGATCCCACGATCTCTCTCACCCGCCTGAACGAGATTGATTCGCCGACAAAGTTTGCTGAAGCATGTGACAGCCTGCGAGATGCGAAACAAAGGGCTATGTACATTGAGGTGACCAAGAAGGTGGAGGCCAAGAAATCGCGGCAAGGCCGAGTCACGCAAGTGAAGCAGCTCATGCGCGAGATCCAAGAGCGCCAAGCCATGGAGCGGGAAGAGGAGGATCAGCTCGAGCGAGAAGCCGCCATCGAGTTTTTCCGGCGACAGAAAGCACTCGAGTGGCAGCGGGAGGAGAACGAGAGGCAATGGATGCAGTATGAAGAAGCGTCCCAGCGATGGGTGGAAAGCGAATTGGAGCGGATACGTCTAGAGGAGTTGGCGGCGCTAGAGGAAGCACGGAGAAAGGCGGAAGCCAAAGCCGAGTACAAGAAGCGCCTGGCAAGGCGGGGAGGCCTTCGTCAAGGCGGTCGCAGCGGCAAGCGATAGAGCCGATCGTACAATTCACAACAAAGTTGATTATCCGGATATTAATCCACATCCGGATATTGCGACATACTGTCCTGTGATTGGAGCATTCCTGTGCCATCGTCCGAGGGGGTGACACATACGATGGGGGATGCGACGGCGTTTGCGCGGTTCCTCCCCGGGCTGCGCAACACCAACTCCGTGATACGGACCAAGACAGCCCGATCGCTATGCATCTACCTAGAATCGGAGGCGCGGGACCTCCCCATGGCGGACTACACCACCGTCGTCTCCAATATCAGTGCGTGCATCATTGAAATGGTGCTTGGAGCCGACATCACGGACCGCACGGGTGGTATCGTGGCCATGGACCACCTTGTGGATCTGTTCATTGCTGATAACAACGACTCGAAGATCGTCGAGTTCGCACACGCTCTCGTCAAGGTATTCGAGAAGACCAGCAACGCTGAACTCCCGACCCTGCGTGCAGCCGGAAGGGCGTTGGGACACCTCGTCTCGTCTGGGGGAACGTCTCTAATTGAATTCGTCGAGGAGTATCACATGAAGCCTGCTCTTCAGTGGCTTGGCAACGAAAACTTCCAAGTCCGTCGGCAAGCAGCGGTCGTGATTATGCGGGAACTCGCCATCAACGCCCCCGCGATCCTCTTTCGCCACATCGATACCTTCTTCGACGTTATATGGAACGCATTCGGGGACACCAAGCAGCAGACTCGAGAAAGTGCTGCGGACGCCCTTCAAGCGTGCTTCGCGCTGCTCCAGGCGCGTGACAGCAACCGCAAGTCCCAATGGTACTCCCGGACGTACGACGAGTGGCGCCGGGGCCTGGACAAAGGATCGCCCGAGTCGATGCATGGTGCATTTTTGATCCTGAATGAGTTGCTGCGGAACTCTGGCGACTTCATGTTTCCGAATTACGAGCGCGTGGGGCAGCAAGTGCTCAGTTACCAGTCTCACAAGTCGTCCGTGGTGCGGCGGGCAGTGATTAACCTCCTCCCGCGGCTGGCCAAGTTTAACTCGTCCACGTTTCTCGACAAGTTTTATCGACCGAGCATGCAGTACTTACTCGAGGTCGCGAGTCAGACGAACCCGCCGGCCAGCACCCGAGGCGACGCTCTGCTCAGTATTGGGAAGCTCAGTTTGGCGATTGGATCCCCGCTCAGCCGCGACGAAAAAACGCTGGAGAACATCACGCACTGCATCAAGCTCGGTCTTGTGCGGCGCAAAGGCGAGAAGAAAGAAGTCGAGACGCAGCGGGAAGCGCTGAGCTGCCTACGCATGCTCGCTGAAGCCACGTCGTTGGGCCGCATCAACCTGGATTCTACCATTCAGTGCGTACTCAAATGCGACTTGGACAAGAGCATGATCGAAACGCTTACGACGCTACTCAAACGTTTGCCCCAGGAGAAGCCGAGAATCCAGTACTCGCTCTTTGATCGACTCATGGAGCTCCTCGAAGTGAACACATCCAAGAAAGACATGATGACGATCTCGGCCTCGCCCAGTCGCCACCGCAGCAAGACTTTTAACAATCTCACGGGCGCGTCGGGTGGTAGCAAGGTGCTGAACCTCATCTCGAGCGCCATGTCGGGCTCCAAGCTTGAATATTCGCCATCGATGCCGAGTCTGCACACGGAAAACGCCCAAGTTATCACGACAATGCAGATTCTAGCACTGGACACCCTCTCAACATTTGACTTCCAAGGCAACCCGCACATTCCCATCATGCAGCGCGTACATACCCACGTCGTCAAATATCTCGACCATGAGATCGCGAACGTTCGGAAGAGCGCAGCGATCACGTGCTGCAAATTGATGCTGCCGCCGGGGGAAGCGCCCCCGCCGCGCGACGGAGACGAATACTTTGCAGTGTCCGCCGTCTTGGAGAAGCTGCTAACGGTCGGGATCGCCGACACGGAAGCGGAGATCCGATCGAAAGTACTGGCATCGCTCGACAGTCGCTTCGATGCCCTTCTCGGCCAGCCAGACAACCTTCGGGGACTCTTCATTGCCCTTAACGATGAAGTGCTCGAGATTCGAGCTTCTGCCATGACCATCCTAGGGCGGTTGAGCATAAAGAACCCTTCCACAGTCATGCCGACTCTGCGCCAGACGCTTGTGCAGCTCTTGGCAGAGCTTGAGTGCGCCAACGACGTGCGTGTGAAGGAAGAAGGCGCGGTGCTTATCGGCCAGTTCCTCAAGAGCGCCGGGAGTCTGACCAAACCGTACGTGTTTCCGATCCTCAAGGTCCTCATGCAGAACCTCCGGGACGAAGACAACAGCCTGAACAAGGCGGTCACTGGCACGTTGGGGGAGCTGGCTGTCGTTGGACAAGATGCGCTGCTGCCCCACCTACCGCAGCTCATCCCAGAACTTGTGTCAGAGATGAAGGAGATGAAGAGCAGCACAGCCAATGTCGCCAAGATGGTCGTGGTTGTGCGAACGCTGGGGCTCCTCATCGGGTCCACGGGCTATGTCACGCGGCCGTACCACGAATACCCTGAGATCCTTGAAGGCCTGAGTGCCGCGCTCCAGCGATCTGGGGACGCCAACGCCCGACTGCGCATCGAATCGGGCCGGACCCTCGGGATCCTTGGCGCGTTGGACCCGTTTAGTTTCAAACTTTTCCAGTTGGAGAGGCAGGGGCGGAGCCTTGGGTCTGGTCAGGTCGCGACCAAGCAGCTGGATCTCCAGCTCAACAAAGCATTCAAAGGCCAGGATATCCAACTCATCGTCAAGCGGGAAGCAGAAGCCGACGTACGCAGTACAAAGATGAGCAAGAAATTTACCATCCAGTGCGTGGCCCCGGAAGAGCTTCTGCCGTCCTTGATTGCTGGGGACCAGTACTTTCCCGCCGTTGCCATCAATGCGCTGGTTCGCATCCTAAGCGAGCCCCGCAATTCGATCCATTACCAAGGCACGATCCTTGCGATCATGTACATTTGCTCTGGGCTGGGCAAGAAGGTCGAGCCGCAGTTGCATCGCATCGTGCCGGCCTTCTTCGTCGCGCTTGACGCTGTCAACATGGAGCTCAAGGTGTTTGTATTGGACCAGCTCTGTGCGCTCGTTCGCCTCATGGAAGACAAAATCCAGGCGCACTTGGACCATACCGCCGTCGCCCACCTCATGCAGCAGTACGGGAGGAAGCACCTCGCTCATGTCCTCAATTTGGTGCAAGAGATCGCGTCCTGCCTTGGCGAGGGGTTTCGAGTGTATTTGTCGGACGTCGTACCAGAGTTGCTCAGTGTGATCCGCACGGAGCGGGACAGCCAGGCGCGGCCCCAGACTGGCCTCGTTCTCAAGACGATTGTCACGCTGGGCCGCCTCCTGGACGGGTACCTCCACTTGATTCTCCCTGTGCTGGTCAAGCTCATCCAGTCAAACGCGGACGTCCAGCCGCGAAAGCAAGCGCTCGGAACTCTTGGGTCCCTTGTTCGAAAGCTCAACGTGTCCATGTTTGCATCCAAGATCATTCACATGCTGGCTCGCATCATCGGGAGCAATGCGCAGAATGAACTTGTCTACCTCGCTATGGACTGCCTCATCGCCATGATGTACACTCTCGGCGAAGACTACGCGATCTTCGTGCCGGTCGTGAACCAGGTTCTCAACCGCTCGTCGCACACGGGCGAAATGTTTGACAAATACGACCTCCTCGTGTCCAAATTGCTCAAGTACCAGGCGCTCCCTGCGGCATCGTGGGCGACCGACCCGTCAAAGCAGCGAGATGTCACCGTGCTGGACGACAACGAAGCAACAAAGGCACTCCCGATCAACCAGATGAACCTGGTCAAGGCATGGGAAACAACGCAAAAGAGCACGAAAGACGACTGGCATGAGTGGATGCGCGCCGTCTCGGTCGAACTCCTCCGGGAGTCGCCGTCACCTGCACTTCGTGCATGCAAAGAACTCGCGTCGGTGTACCAGCCATTGGCGAAGGAGCTCTTTTACGCGTCCTTCTTCTCCGTGTGGCCGCACTTGACGTCACACACCCAGGAGAATCTCCTCCGGACCCTTGAGACAGTTCTGCAAGCGGCAAACCTCCCGAGTGAAATCCTGCAAACCCTGCTCAACCTAGCCGAGTTCATGGAGCACTGCGACCAAACGGTGGACCGGTCGTCGCTGCCGCTCGACGTACGGCTCCTTGGGACAATGGCGGAGAAGTGTCACTCGTTTGCCAAGGCGCTACATTACAAGGAGCAGGAATTCCACGCGACGCCGTCGGCCGCCGGCATCGAAGCCTTGATCAGCATCAACAACAAGCTGAACCAGTTTGAAGCGGCTGTAGGAATTGTTACTTATGCGCAGATCCATCTGCCCAAGGTGCCCGTCCAAGCGTCGTGGCACGAGAAGCTGCGGCGGTGGGACGACGCACTCACCGCCCACGAAGGCGTTCTCGCGAGAGATCCTACTAACATTGAGGCGGTGTTTGGTAAGATGCGGTGTCTCTTTGCCATCGGGCAATGGCACTCACTCCAGAGCCACATCGAGTCAACGTGGGCAAAGGTGTACCCAGCCGACGACTACGGCGTCAAGCTGCTCAACGTCCCGCCTGCCTTCAAAAAGGAGCTGTGCAGCAGCGCCGCCAGAGTCGCGTGCACATTACAGCAATGGGACCTGCTTCCCAAGTACATCAACTCGGATATGGACGAGACAGAAGCGTTCTTATTCAAGTCGCTGACGTGCATCCGGGCGCGCGTGCTGGACGAAGCGAAAGTCGCCATAGAAGAGTGCCGGACGATTCTAGACCCGACGATTCAAACCTTCATCAGCGAAAGCTACGCCCGGGCGTACATGCCGTGTGTCGTGCAGCTCCAGAACCTCGCTGAGCTCGAAGAAGTGATTCATCATCTTGACACGAACGGCGACTTCAATCGCCTCCAGCAGATCTGGACCACGCGACTTCTCGGAGTCGACAGAGACATCAAAGTATGGCAACACCTCATGCTTGTCCGGTCGCTGGTCCTCAATCCAAAGGACGACGTGCACGTCTGGCTCAAGTATGCCCGTCTTTGTCGCCAGAACGACCAACTCCACTTGGCTTTCAATGCACTGGCGAACGTTGGGGCGGATGTCCTGGCGGCGCAGCTGCAAGTGGACCCGACCGCGCCTTTGCTGACCAACTTGGAGCAGCACAACCCTCGCGTGGCGTTTGCCTTTCTCAAGCATTTGTGGGCCGACAACAAAGAAGAAGTTGCACTACGGCAACTTCATTCGCTCATCCACGTCCTCGAGCAAGACCAGAGCAACGAGTACGTCCCGCTGCGCGTCCAAGCGTACACGCAGCTGGGCAAGTGGCAAGTCACTATGATGGAGCCTCGCACGCACAATGAACAGCTTTACGACCAGGTTGGGTTTGATACTGGGAGCCGGTATAAAACGGAGGCGTGTAGGTGCTGGACTGCCTCAAGACGGCAACGCAACTCGACCCGACCAACTACAAAGCATGGCATGAGTGGGCTCTGATGAACTTTCGAGCGGCGGAAGCCTCCAAAGACGACTCGTACGTGACTAGCGCGATCGACGGCTTCTTCAAGTCCATTATGTTTGGCCATGCCCGGTACGACGTGACCAAGGACGTGCTGCGTCTACTCACGCTCTGGTTCAACTACGGCGGGCGCATGGACGTCCACGACGCTGTCAGCGAAGGCCTGGCGAAAGTTTCCATCGACACCTGGCTCGAGTTCATCCCGCAGCTCATTGCTCGACTCCACTCGTCCCAAACCAACCACCTGCTTAACGAGTTGCTCACTCGCATTGGGCAACACCATCCCCAAGCTCTGATATATCCAATTACGGTCGCGTCCACGTCGGTCGGGACCAAGAGGAAGGTCGCAGCCGAGGGAATATTGGCAGCTGTCAAGCGCCACTCGCCGCAACTCGTCCAAGAAGCGGAGCTCGTGTCGCGGGAGCTCATCCGCGTGGCGATTCTATGGAATGAACTGTGGCATGGGGCGCTCGAGGAAGCGTCCCGGCTGTACTTTGCAGTCCACGACACCCAAGCGATGCTCAACGAACTGGCCCCGTTGCACGCAAAACTCGACAACCTTGGCGTCGACGACGCTCCCACTCTGCGCGAGATCGCGTTCCACCAAGCATTTGCGAGAGACTTGCAGCAAGTATGCTGTGTGTGTTTGCCCTGTTGTTCGATGGGGACGCCCCATGACTGGTTTTTTTGTAGGCCAAGGCGTGGACGGATCGATACCAACTGACAAACCAAACGGACGACCTGAACCAAGCTTGGGACATTTACTACAATGTCTTCAACCGCATCAAGAAGCAAATTGCCAACTTGAGCACACTCGAGCTGGCCAACGTGGGACCGAAACTGCTCTCTGTGTCGTCCCTAAGCTTGGCTGTGCCTGGGACGTACAAGGCGGGGGTCCCGATCATTCGCATTCAGTCGTTTGGACCTCAGCTGACCGTTCTTACGTCCAAGCAGCGGCCGCGAAAGGTGTCATGATCTTGACCTTGGTCCATCTCATACATCCATCAGGTGGTCGTGAACGGCAGCAATGGCAAATCGTATACGTTTCTTCTCAAAGGCCACGAAGATCTGCGGCAAGACGAGCGAGTGATGCAGCTCTTTGGACTGATCAACACCCTGCTCGCCAACGACAGCGACACACGCAAGCGGAACCTGGCGATCGAACGATTTTCGGTCCTCCCGCTGAGCCACACGTCGGGCCTGATCGGGTGGGTCGAGAATACCGACACACTGCACCAACTCATCAGGGAGTACCGCGAGAGCCGGAAGATCCCGCTCAACATCGAGTACCGCCTCATGGTCCAGATGGCGCCGGACTACGAAAAACTCCCGGTTGCGCAGAAACTGGAGGCGTACGAGAACGCCCTCCACGAAACGACTGGGCAGGATCTGTACAAAGTACTCTGGCTCAAGTCGTTCAACGCAGAAATGTGGCTCGATCGCCGGCGCAACTTTACGCGCAGCCTCGCGGTGATGAGCATGGCGGGGTACATTCTTGGGCTGGGCGATCGTCACCCTGGCAACCTCATGCTCGATCGGATATCAGGCAAAATGGTGCACATCGACTTTGGCGACTGCTTTGAAGTCGCGATTGAGCGCGAAAAGTACCCAGAAAAGGTCCCATTCCGCCTCACGCGAATGCTGACTCAGGTGCAATGATGCGCCCTCGTGTGCGTCCACGGCATGAAGGATGTCTATGCGTGTAGGCGATGGAAGCAAGTGGCCTGGAAGGCACGTTTCGCCACACGTGCGAAGCAAGCATGCGTGTCCTTCGTGAAAATCGCGACAGCTTGATGGCGATTCTCGAAGCGTTTGTCCATGACCCGCTGATCACGTGGCGCTTGTTGGCGCCGCACGCCGCGCCGTCCCATGCGTATGCCGAAGAAGACAAGGAAAAGGAGGAAGTCAAGGTCCGGCGTTCGAGTGTTGACAGCGCAAGCATGATGGACTTGCACTTTGAAGAGGAACAGTTCGATTTGAACGCCGCCGCGTTGAAGGAAGAAGAGGAGTTTGTGATGCGGCCAGAGCAACTCAATGCCAAAGCCGTCAAGGTCATCGAGCGCGTCAAGAAAAAGCTTCGCGGACGGGACTTTGACCAGGACACCAAAGCGCTCAGCGTCCCAGCCCAAGTCGACCGGCTTATCCAGCAAGCCACGTCCCACGAGAATCTGTGTCAATTGTACTATGGCTGGTGTCCGTTTTGGTAAGTTGAACAGTTAACGTGTCACAGAGGGATTTTGTTTCAACCTTTTGTCACGACCGCAGCCGAAACTTGAGTTGGTTGATGTGCCGGTCGACGCTGTTCAAACTGGTCTCAATGTCGGACTTGCGGCGGCGCGCTTGAATGCTTCGACATCCCATTTGCTCGAGCTTGGTGTATTCCGCCTGGAGCTGCTCCTTTTGAATGTGCCAGTGCAGAAGCTGCGCCTCTAACTCCCGCCTTGCGACCACGTCGTTCTGGAAAGTCTGCATTTCTGTCGCAAACGGAGCGCTCACGTTCGTGTCCACGCGATGCGGAGCGACATGGTCCTGCGACCGAGGACTGTGGTGGTAGCTTAGAAGATTGCGCACGTTGGTTGAGCTGTTGAGCTCGTCGGGTTTTCGAATGAACTGACCAAATCCCATTTCCGCCAGCGATTTGGACTTCTCTGGAGGAGGTGGTGGCGGTGGCAAGCGGCGGGTTTCGACAGGCTGCATGGCCTCGCCAAGTTTGGGGGAGAGAGGTTGGTGCAAGAATGCTGGAGGAGGCGGCGGTTGAGGAGGTCGCGTCTCGGTTGCTCGCCGATGGCTGAGCTCGTACTGCGCCTTGAAACACTCTTTCCGTAGGCGCTCCATTTCAACACTGTTCTGGCGCTGTGTGTCTTTCAGGGCGTCGTGGGCTGCGGAAAGATCGTGGAACTGTTCGCGAAGTGTCTCGAGTTCCTTCAACTTTGCCGCAAGCGCTTCCCCATCCGAGTGAATCTTGCGGTCCTTTTCGGCCACCCTTGCCAGCAGGTTGTCGACTTTGGCCTGGTCGACCAACGTCAGTCACTCGTCATCGTCGTTCCACACCCACCTCGAGAGTAGATACGATTCGTTTTTGCTCCATATCTTCGTCGCGAAGCGCACGTAGCTACAGCGACGTGGGTTGGTATGCAGGGCAGATGTGCTGGTGCCACGCACGTGTAACTCGTTGGCATGGCTTTGTTCGCGAAGTGATACTTGAGTCTCCAGAAGCTGCGACCGCAGCAAGCGATGGCTGTCTTCGAGGGCCTCCATCTAGATAGAGTTTAGCGTTATGTGACCTCTAGAGACTCACCTGAGCTTGCTTGGTCTGCAACTGGGTCTTGAGTCGGGCCTGTTCGCCCTCCAACGATCGCACTTCCATCGAGTGGTTGGTTGAAGACTCCTGCAGACGCACTGTCAGCGCCTTGAGCTTCATCTCCAGTGCTGCGCACTTGGATTGCAGCTCGATCTTATTTGTCTCCATCTCGTGAACTTTGGATTCCAATGAAAGACACTTGGCACGGTCAGTGGGAGTTTGGTCATTGGCTTCATTTGGTAAGGCATGTACAGGGTCGGCTGGGAACGATGGTGAATAGTTTTTGAACATGTCCAGCAGTGATATGGACGGACTCTGAGGAGGCGGAAGGGGGACTAGGGATGGCGGAAGCGGGGTGGAGTGTGACTGAATCGGGCGTGTGAGACCTTCGCGTTCCAGTATGACCGTGGGTTCGTGCATCGGAGTTCGCAGTGCAGCTCTGGTTGACAAATCGACGGGTATAGAGACCTCACCGTACGTTAACGCGGGCAACGGTGGGACGCCACGCGGTGGCTGTGTTGGGAATACCCACGACGACGATGACTGTAGCTCGACTTCGTCTATCAGTGGTCCGCAAATGGGATCGTCCACGATCGGATACAGGACGTCTGATGCGATATCCTGGAGGCTAATGGCCGATTCCTCATCACCCGCGAACTCTTTTGGTCTATACTCGGACAGGCAAAGACTCCTCCATGATATGCAGTCGTCATCGTCGCTCCAGTACTCGGACATGGTTTTTGCCCCTTCAAGCTCCAAGATATCCGGATGAACACTGCTTATCCGGGAATCTGGCTTGATGCAGAATGGAGTCGCCGCGATGGTCGACGTTGACGAATGCAACTCCGCCATCATGGGCCATGTCACTGTGGACGCCAGAGAAGGACGAGATCCTGGCTGCGTATGTTACTTCCAGCATCAAAGCGAGTCTGGAGTCATCTAATGAAGAAGTGGACCAGGATCTTGCCGAAGCAGTGTATGCCGCACGGTTTCCACTTGGTGTGAATTGGAAAGATCTTGCCCTGGAACTCAACTGCAGCCCGATGGACTGCGTCCGGCGATACGCAGAACTAAAAACTCCGCCTGTTCCATTGGAAGAAGAACTTCAGGTGGTCCATTCGCCTCGTCTGGATGAACTTTTGTCGTCGTCACATCGTTCCCTGTCCCCAATGCTTTCCCCCCCGCCGTTTGCTCTGCGAAGTGAACACCGCAACAGTCCGTTCCGATGGGACGAAGTTGAGAGCAGTGGGAATCTTTCGCTCGAAGACACAGACGACCTGCATGCAATCGAGATCGAGGAGCTCAGTCGTGACTTGAGCAATGCGTCGACGCACGACGCACTCCCTCTGGGTATACATTACGTGCACTTTCCGTTTGTCCTCACCTGGATGCAGGCGACTCATCGTTGACCCAGTCCGCGCTTGAGGAAGCCTTTCTCGACCTCACGTCCAACTCGATGCCAAGGTCGGTATTCATTCCATTCCTCCGCCTGACTTTTGCATGTAGCATGCTTCTAAACAATCCCACGACGTTCTAACTCACGTGGAATGAAAAGTGCTGCGGAATCGTTCCAGGGAAAGAACGCAGAAACGTGTTAAACTGAATTGTCGAGCATCTTCTGCTTCTCGGCCGCTTCGTCCTTGCGCGCCTTGGCGAGTTTGGCAGCTTCCGCGTCCTTGAACTTGCCGTACCCGTACAGCATGCCTCCAATCACGCCAAAACTGACGAAGATTGCGGTCTTGGCAGTTAGCTCTTCGCCGAGAAGGACGACGCCGATGAATGTCGTCGGAACCTTGTTCAGGCCACCAACCGTTGCGTAGGTCGTGGCCGATGTCGAAGATACACACCAGAACGACGCCAGGTTGAGCGCAATCCCGAAGACGCCGCTCACGGTCAAGAGGACGAGGAACGAAACGTCATACGTCATCGGGTTGGACCACATCGTGATCGCGTCGCCGTTGACAAGCATGGGCGGGAACAGCAGCGGCAGCGCGACTAGGTTGTTGTAAAACGCCATTCCAAAGCGCGACAGCTTGAGCGAAGACTTGGACGTGGCGTATCGCATGTATAGAACGTAAGAAGCTGTGCAAATGCAATTCATGACCATCCAGAAGTAGCCGCTGATGGTACTCGGAGTTGGTTTCCCGTCCACGTCGCTGTACGAAGTGAGCACAGCACCCAATAGCATGACGAAGAGAGACGTGAGAACGATCAGCCCTACGCCTTCGCCAAAGAAGCGCCATTCCCCGATGACTGTGAGAATGATCGCGACATTCTTGAACACGGTCACAATGTGGATGGGAAGGCCGGCCGTCGCAAGTGTACTCGTGTACAACATCGCGACAAAGAAAAACGTGACGGGCGCCCAACGCTTGGCGGTGTCGAGACTGAAGTTTTCGTACTTGATCATTCCTTGAAATTTGGCGAGTTCCAGCATTAGCACGCCGAGGAGCATCTGGGCGAGGATCACGAACGACTTCTCGTGGTAATTGAAGTACTTTTGCCCGACGAGGTACCGATTCACGAGGACCATAGCGTTCGACACCGCGCTGTATACCACACAGGACAGGACTGCCATGGCTGTGCTTGTCGTCTTCGGTGTCGACATCGCGGCGGTGTGCGGTCGACGCTGATCAAGGGATAATGCCTCTACCTCGATGATTTCCTTGGTGTCGGCATATCCGAATAAATGCCATCCGGATATGGCATCTGCCCACCATTACAAGCCTCAACCTTGTGGAAATGAATATTGTCCTGTGACAATCAATATTTAGTGGACGGATTCGTGCGTCTTTTGGCGCTGGACTGTGAGTCGTTCATGCTCTGGTCATGTAGCCAACGAAGCATAGAAAGGAACGAGTCATTCGATAAGAGTTTATCATCCATGTGTAAAGTAGAACGCTGCCCCGGCAATGATCAGCAAGGCAACGACTGCAGCGGCAATCAGGGCGCTGTTGTCGGTGGGATGGTCTTTAAACGCTACAGAATACTACATGAGCTAGGACGTCGACATGATGACATATCGTGTACGTACTGTTCTTCTCAATCGCGTAGCGGGAACGCAGTTGGGCGGCACTAAGGTCACAGTCGCGCACGCTACCACCACGGCCGTAGCGACTTCGCAGCTCCGACGCGCTCATTCCGTCATCGCCCATGGCTGACCTCTAAAATTGTAAAGTGCGGCGCCATGGAGGTGTTTCATCGGCCAAAATAGACTACGGCAGTTTGCAGCCAGCACAGTTACATATCCGGGGTTTCGAGGTTCACAAAAAGTGTAGAGTAATTGGTCACTTTTTAGTACTCTGCCCATGCTTTTTGGATTCAATTAAAGTATGCAGCACTAGATGGATATCCGGATAATGGATCTCATCTTGCGGACATCTGAGGTTCCAAACGAGTGGAGTTTGCGACTGATGTCAGGGTGGAAGGGCGAAGAAGAGCTCAAGGGGGCGCTGGCGTCCTTGGCGTCGGCGAAGGGCGTGTCTGCAAACCGCATCAAAGCAGCATGCACTACATGCATGAAGTGGTCCAAGGAGTACAAACGCGTGGTGCATGCAGTCGAGATGGCAATGTGGAAATCTGATGTCGAGCACCGACTGGCGTATATGTACTTGATTGACGCCCTCATTCGAGCATCGCAGACCAAGTATGGGGACGAGAAGGATCATTTTGCCAAGAGGTTTGGTCAGCATTTGCATCACACCTTGGCCGCTTGCCGAAAAGCCCCCGACGATCACAAGGTATGGAAACGATCCACGGAATAGTGCGTGCGTCATGGGAACTTTGCATTGCAGGCAAATGTGAAGCGCGTCGTTGCCGAGTGGCAAAAGCGAGGAGTGTATACAACGCAAGAAATCGAGCAAGCGGGGGGTGCAGATTTTCTCGGGGACGGTCCACTAAATGCTCCACCCGCTCCAAATGACGAAAAGATCGCTTCATTGCTGAGCGGTTTGCAGAAATTGAAGCAGCAGGAGAAACAAGAGGCTCCTCCTGGTTTCCATTCGGAGGAGAGGCCAACGTTCGACCACACGCGTCGACCTTCCCCACCACGCCATCACGATGTCATGCCAACATCTGCATATCGAGAACGCAGCAGTGCTCCACCGTCGTTGATGCATGCAGAACCACGATATGGAGATTCGGCTCCTCCCAATGCGCCTTCTCGCTTTGATTCTGCGCCCACACCACGATATGCAGTCACGCCTCCTGTGTCGTCTCGCTACGACCATCCTCCGCCTTCTTCTCGTTTTGACCAGCATGCGGCCACTACTTCCCGATTTGATCAAGTTCCCCCACAAGGATCGTCCCGATTCGATCCGCCTCAAGGATCTTCGCGCTTCAACGAGACTTCGCATCAGGGAAATCCTCCGTATGACCAACCTCCTCGGCAAGGCGCTGCCCGCTTTGAATCGTCACGTCCGGCCCCGTCGCGGTTTGACCAGCCCCCACAGGGACCGAATGGGCGCTTCGACCCGCCGTTTTCACGATTTGACCAGCAGCAATCTTCGTACAACGGCCCTCCTCCACAAAGACATCGCGAGTACGGGTACCCTCGAGGACCGTCGCCTGGGAGATCTTCCCCTCCACAGGACACTTTCAAACGAATGCGGTACGATTGCTCGTTTTTTGTAGTGTCCAACCATGATGTAGGTCGCGCTCTCGCAGTCGGTCCCCGGCAAAACGTCAACTTTTGCCGTGCCGAGATTTCCCCATGGGCCGGTGCTCACGTGGCAACAACTGCCGGTAGAATTGTTGTCATCATTCGGCAACTTTGATGGAGCTCATGTTTATAGATACGCCCACGATGGCGACGGTCCGACGCACGGCAAGCCGGCTCAAGTGAAAACCCGATTGTGTAACACGTATCCGACTTGTCGATTTGGAGATCGGTGTACATTTGCGCACGGGGAACGGGAGCTTGGGACAAGTGCATATTCCCACGACGATACATTCTCGCAACCGCGCCATACTTCGCCTGACCGCCGCTTCCAGTCGTTCCAGCAAGCCCCGCCGCCATTGCATGCGGCTCCTGGTGGAATGCACGTAACTAATACACTTCCTCCCTCGTCCACCAACTCGGCGCCTCCGTATGCCCCCGGGACCAACGATCCTCCACCTCCAACGAGACAACGGCGCTCGCGCTGGGAAGACAAAAAGACGACTCCTGCGCCGACGGCTGCCCAAGACCACCCCCAAACCAAGCACGTGGCACAAATGAACGATCCCCCACATCGCAAAATCGACGTGGATGACGAGCACGCCGACGATACGGCCGCCGCGCCGGAATTTACGCTCGAATATGACGATGACAACTAGCTTACACCAGTTTTTGAAGTCTAAAGTAATGGACCACCATTTGTACCAGAGCCACGTGAACCAAATGCTCAAGTCCACAAAGGTGGAATCTCGCGGGGTTTCGGGGTTCGGACCTCCCCAAAGTGTGTATTGATGGAGAAAATGAACAAAGAAAAAATGTTTCCACTGTTATTAAATACTAGTATTCAATTTTCGGTAAACAAAATCGACCGGATTAAAGCCAAATGAAACCCTGGATATATTGCAGCGATGGAATATCCACCTGGTGTTGGGAAATATCCGGGTGGCTTCGATCCAGTCAATCGAAAAACCATCATGCCCGACCAACAAGTCTTCTTCGGTACGTACACGACTACTCGCGATGGCATCTCCCGTTGACAACGTTTGCGCAGACATTGAAATCGGCGGCAAAAAGAGTGGCCGCATTGTCTTTCGCCTGTACAACGACACCCCGAAGACGAGCGAAAACTTTCGTGCGCTGTGCACGGGCGAAAAGGGCGTTGGAAAGACCACCCGCAAGCCGTTGACGTACAAAGGTGTCAAGATAAACGAAATGTACAAGAAAAGTGACTTGTGCTGTGTCATAGGATCCATTTTCCACCGCATCATCGATGGATTCATGTGCCAAGGCGGGGACTTCTCGAACCGGAACGGCACAGGCGGCGAATCCATCTACGGCGCCAAGTTCAAGGACGAAAACTTCATCCACAAGCACACGAAGGCAGGTTTGTTGAGCATGGCCAACGCTGGTCGCCACACAAACGGCAGTCAGTTTTTCATCACATTGGCGGCCACCAAACACTTGAACGGAAAGCACGTTGTGTTTGGAGAAGTCGTGTCTGGTATGCAAGTGGTGCGCGCGATGGCGGCCGTCCCCAAGGGTCGAAACGACAAGCCAGTAAAAGATGTTGTGATCGCCGACTGCGGTGAGTATGATGAGGCAGCCGCGGCGCCTAAGGCCCACGAGAAGTCCAAGGACAAGAAGCGTAAGCAAACCGACGACGAAGTGCCTGCCAAGGCACCCGCCAAGAAGGAGGCTGCTGGCCAAGACGAGAAAACGAACAAAGGTGGGGACGAAGACGAGAAGAAGGTCAAGGCTGCGGACGACAACGAGCCAGCTGCGAAGAAGCAAAAGGCGTAAGCTCGTGCGTGCGTAGGGGCGCGCAAAGTACAAAGCGTCTTGCGATGCTTTTTAAAACTGCAGAATGAAATGACTCACGGGGTTTCTCTCAACGCCGCTGATGGATGTATACGGTCGCCGGACCCCAGCTCATGTTCCGGCGTTCCTTGTCGACAATGTCAAAGGGCGCAATATCGGCCGGCAGAGGTTTTGTAAACGTGATGAAGTAACTGCCGGGCCGCATTGCTGATGCCTTTTCGGCCATGGCCGCGATCAGGGCCGAGTCGAAGCACGTCGAGTTGGCGAAGCATACGTCCGTGTGGGACCAGTCCAGGTCGAGCAGGGAGCAGTGAAAGAAGGAGGCTTCCAGTGGCGTCGAAGTGGTGCTCACAACCGGACGGACGAACTCGTTGTAATTGGAGCAGACGTCGGCAGCAGCGTCATGTAGGCCGCGCAGGATCTCGATGCCGGTACATCTGGGCGGGAATGAGACAACGCAGCAAGGTACGAGAACACGTCACCGTGAGAAGTCGAAGTTGAGGCGAGCGATAAACACGGCGCGACCGGTGCCGCTGCCTAAGTCCGTAAATGTCCAGTGCGGCTCGATGGGGATCTTTCGCAGGGTGGCGAGGAAGGCCAGATAGTCCACTTCGCCGTAGACAAGCGACTGCAGTATGAATGAGGCGCATGCAAGGAATCAAAGGATCACCTTCTGTGTGAGCATGCCATTGTCTTCGCGTTCTTGCCGAGATATTGCCTTGCCTTGCTCCAAAGGATAGTCCAAGTAGAGGGAGTCGAACAGCTTGAGTGTCTCGACATCTGTACGGATGATTGGGAAGATGGAGTCGTCGTAACGTGGTAGACGTACCTAGCAATCGATGGACAAACTTGAGCCAATGCTCGTCCGAGCTTGAGAAGAGCGTGTCAACCAACTTCGGTCCTCGCACATCTTGTTGAAACACAACCTCTACCACCATCACAAACGCATGAAGCTTCTTTTGTTGTGCCCACAATCTCATGACGTTACCTTTGAGCAAGGCCTTCCCGATTCCAGAGATTACTCCGTGACGATGCAGATGCCCGGCAATGTGGAACATCTGCGCAGGCAGCGAATGTGCCGATGCCGCCACACGTGACCGCAGATTGTTCAGGTCGGTCATTCCAAATGACCAGCACGAAATATACCAACGTCTTGTGTTCTGTACTATGCCGATTCGGCGAAATATAGTCACAATTACACTTCACGCAGTGATTGGATAAATACCCATTGAATTTTAATTCTATGTGATTGGTCGATTCGAAAATCCCTCGCATTTACTACTAGTACGACGTACTAGTAGTACATTTCGTTTTGAAGAAAAAATAAAAATTTTATATATGTAACTTTCAGTTTTAACAAAATCGTCCGTTTGCCCGAGTGGTCTAAGGGGTCACGTTCAGGTCGTGATGTATTCGTACGCGTGGGTTCAAATCCCACAGCGGACAGTTTTTCCACAGATTTTGGCCCATGTGTCATCAGTGCTTGCATTCTTGTTGACAATGCTCTAAGTGCTCTGCATGCCATTAGACAGATTTCGAGAACTGGGCCGTACATTTGCCACGCCCTAAAATTGTTGAACACGGCAAATTCGAGGCAAACTCTTGTTCGATTTCGAGGCGGATTTGGCTGTATCCAGATTTTAACCGGAAATCCCCAAAGCCAACAAAGTTTGGATGCTCACGGTTGATCAGCTCGGCGCACTCCTTCGGCACCGACGCAAGCTCCCTTTCAGGAGCCGTCGACGGTTTCTCCGTCTCCTCATTAATGTTGTTGAGCGCCCACTTGTTCCCGACTGCATGTTGAAGTTTCGATTCGACAAGAATGGGATCATGGAGATGTATGGATTGCTTCGAATTCCCAATGTGGTGGTCATAGGTGGTGGAGACCGTTGTCTCGGCATCGATGCCCTTTGTGTTTTGCTGAATCGATTGGCCTACCCACGACGTTACTATGACATGATGGCTACATTTGGGCGCTCTCGGAAACCCCTTTGTCGCATATTCAATTGGGTCGTTGACATGCTGTTTGATGAATGGAACGAGCTCGTGTACTTTTGCCTCCACATTGTGCGCCAGCGTTTGGACGTCTACAGTAGTGCCATCGCCGACAAAGGGGGCCTTTTTGGAAAACATCTTTGGATTTATTGACGGCTCGAAAGTGGAGACCTGTCGCATTACTCAAAAGATCAGTCGCGCGCTCTGTGGAGGCAACAGCTACCCTGATTTGAAGCGCTTGATATACAGCGGTCATAAGCGTCGCCATTGTCTCAACTTTCAAGCAACCACGGCCCCTGATGGACTGTGTGTTCATTACTGGGGTCCTATTGAAGGCTCACGGCATGATACTACACTGCTATGGGAGAGCAAGCTCATGTCGTACATGGACATTCATGCAGATATTTTTGGTTCCTTTCTCATTTATGGAGATCCTGCGTATGGAATTTTACCTTGGATTTGCAGTGGATTTAAAGGTCAGGCCATTGATCCCCGGATGCAAGAGTTTAATGCTTCGATGAGCCGCGTTCGCCAATCAGTGGAATGGAGCTTCTGTCAAATGAAAACCCAGTGGGCATTTGTTACCTACAAGATGCAACAGAAAATTATGTTGCAAAGTGTTGGAAAATCCATCAACTTAGCAATGTTCATGACCAATTGTCAAACTTGCTACTACGGCCGAAACCAAATCAGTGCGTTCTTCAATTTGAAGCCACCAACACTCAAAGAATATTTGACAAGAGCTTAACATTTAACATGCTACGGCTTTTGAATCAAGTGTTGAATAATTCGCATCATTTCATCGTTTCTGCGGCTCTCCATTTCCCAATATGCTGGCGCTCCTGGCGGTCGAGTTCACGCTCCAAGCGATCCTTTTCTCTTCCATTTCTCTTTCAAACTTCAATTTCTTGAACGCAATCCGCTCTCGCTCGAGGTCCATCTCCTTGTCCTGTGCATCTTGAATTAGCTTTCTCTTGCTAAGAACAGAGCCATCCGAGGCGTCTCCGGACTCCGACGACTTACGCCGCCCGCGCAACATGGCTTGCTCTCGAATAAACTTGATGTTGGCCGCCTTCTCCTCGGCCTCAGTTGGTTGGGCTGACAGTTTCTTCTTGACCAAAGTGTCGTTGTACAGGGGCACAAGGTCGTCCAGAAGCTTGGACTTCTCTGTTTCGTCCTCACTCACACCCGAGGCTCGGGCAGATTCCAGGTTGCTTGCCTTGTGCTGTCGGACAAGTAGCAAGAATCGATTTTGCGCCCTTTTACCGTCGATACCGGGACGGGAGAACCCCTCCACATCCTTTAGGGCAACAGCCATGCTGTCCCAGGCCTTCCGAGCATCCTTTCGTTGGAGAAAGGGTCTTGTGTTGTTGATCTGTGTCAACAATATGGTATCCTCGTCGTCAATCCACCATTTCTTTTCGTGCACCTCGATAGTTTCAGCGCTTTCCTCTGCCATTCTGTTCTCGTTTGGTTCGTTGAAAGCGGATTCTACGGCTAGATGCGAGGTTGCCGTAAAATCGGCCATTTTTCCGGCTTGCCACATGAAGTTTTGGAGGTGCCGTAGAATGCATTAAGATTTGGGTGATTTCTGCGGCAAATTCACGGCAAACCACTTCGAAATCTGTGTAATAATAATTACCGATATGTATGAACACTAAAAATACGAACGATGCATGGGCATTATCCCAGACTCTCTCGAGGGCGTCGTTGTAGTTACAGACCAAGCAACGTGTACTTGTCTTGTGTGGTGTTTGCTGCACATATTACGTACATCGCTTTTGGTACGGCAGTTGGTGGGATCCAAATGATACTGATCGATGTTCGTCGTTTGTATTTTTGGGATCCAAAATGGTGCTGATCGATGATCGTCGTTGCTGTGCACGTCAACGTTGCCTTCACAAACCCGATCGACACGCTATGTTGCAATGTACAGTGAACCTTGGAAAAAGCCGACACCCCCAAAAAAGCCGACCACCTCCAAAACATGATCTGTTTGGAAAATTCTGCCACCTGTATACTTCAATACCAAGTCAGATATGCCATTCCTTTTGACCAATTGTAGTGCAGATTCAAGAAAAACTGTGATTACCTTACTGAAATTCTACTAGTTATAGCCAATCAAGTTAGACTAATTCATGTAATTTAAATATACTGAATTTATTCTTCTTCCAGGCATTTTAGGATGAAACAGTGTCGGCTTTTTCCGACGTTCACTGTAACGATGACCGTTTGACCTACGATTGTCCTGTACTTCCCGAGTGGCTTGCTGGCTTCTTTTTTTTTTACAGTGAGCTAGCATCTGAACGTTTCCGATAGTGACAAGCCATCACGCTCTTGCGCCATTTCTTTTGTCTTAGTGACCAAAACAACTTACTTCCTCTGTTCCATATTACTGCCGACATTTGCAAATCACTCTTTTTCCATATTACTTGTGACATTTCAATCCGATTGGTTAACAAACGAGAAAACTTCGTGTTATTGGTTAAAAAACTGAATGGCCACTTTGCCGAGAAGTGAAGCAGGGCACGAGACATTTGACATGAGCGCCCTGGTACGACGCAAGGCATCCTTCCGCAAATGCGGCAAGCGATAGTGGTTGCCACCATTGCTCTTCAGAACTAGGCGCATGACTGCTTGTAACGTGAGGAACACGTTTGCAAGTGCGAAGCGACTGCGACAGCTCGCGAACAGTGCTGGCGACAGCTTCTGGTGTGTACACCCGCGGGCGACCGGACAGGCCAGCTTTCATCGAAGGCAGCACTGCGTTTTGCTGAAATGCCTTCCAGATGCGAACGACGGTTGTACGGTGGACCTGGAGTTCGCAGGCCGTTGACGCCATTGCTTCGTGAAGAAGCTTGTCCATGCTCGAGACAGTGAACTGGGAAAAATCTCGCCATAGTTGCACCTGAATAAAAATAGTCATTTGATCTGCACTTTCGTTATCAACACCACGACGAAATGAAATGCATAAAAGTACATAAGCTCCTGATTGGACAATGTAATTGAGGAGTCATACTGCAGTCTGATTGGTCTGTTCAGTGATGTAGTGAAGATTTGAATTTGAAATGCCAACACCGATCCTCCCGCAGCGCAAGCAACGGCGCTTTACCATCGACGCTCGACTGAAGCTCCTTTTAGCTTACGAATCCAGTACTCTAAATCAGACTGAAATTTGTGAACTAGAAGGAATCCCTCGGTCGACATGGCGAACATGGCTAAACAAGAAGGGAGTGTACATTAATAGCACACGGAACAAGCGTATGTCTACGCTAGGTGGCCAAGGTCGCCCTGTTGCCATGCAATTCGCCAGCGACCTTCTCAACTTCATGAAATCTGTGCGTGAGGGTAGTAATCTATTGACGACTGCCCACATGGTAACGTGGATAAAAAATCACCAAGCAACGTGGGTCGAAGGGTACTTACAAGACAAGTCCGAAACGGGAACGGGGTACTCTGGTCTTCTTGGCTTGTGTCAAAGGTTCGCCCATCGCCATGGCTTTGCGCAGCGCGTTCCATGCTACTCCAAGCTCAAACGCGCGGAGCTGGAGGAGCAGAAGATGGCCTTCGCGTCCAAATTTTGGTCCCAGTACAATAAGGTGCCTCTACGGGACATCGTGAACGTCGACGAAACAGCGGTGTATTACGAAATGCCGCCCAGACGTACCTGGTGTGAGATTGGCGAAGACGCACGTGTCGA